TCTTACTGCTATTTTTTTAGGCAGATAAGGGCCTAAGTGGTGTCATTCCTTCTGCATGAAGAAGATCCCCTCGCCAAAATTCAAGTGGTAAAAGGTGGCCTTACTTGTATGTCGCCTGCATTCCAAACCGGTCAAGTCATGACTCTGGTCTTTCCACATGTCATCGTCAGCACACGTAGATCCGGCCTTTCTATTCCTTATCGTTTACTGACAGCTTTTGTAACAGCTTTTGGCGTCTGATTTCACACTGCGCATCTCTCCCGTACTCGCACCTGCGCACCAATGGCGGTCTAGTTATCGGCCAACAACAGCTATCTATACCAACCAATCAACTTCCAGGACGACTCAGGCATGCCCTCGCTGAAGACGCCCTGGCGCCTGCCTCTTGCGTCGTCGGTCTTGTGTTTTCTGCTTGGTTGCCAACTTGCTCCAACTCATTCGCCATTTATTCTGTACTTAACATAATTCTCTCTCTTCTGGCATCAAACTTCGCGACCGGGCTCGAAGGTCGTAGTGGCTAGGATCTATTCATGATCTGAGCTGCCGCGACAAGCCTGTGATAAATGGTTTCGTAGGACCCCCTGCCGGTAAGGGTAGGTTGTGCAACCCCACTGGGTTTAATGTGTATAACTAACTACTGTATTTGCGTTAGTGGGCTTTAATTAGTTTACTAATTCATAGCTGCAGGAAATCTCCCTTTGGGTGTTATCTGGCGCATTGATACAAACGCATGCACCGAGTTGTTTCACTGTGGTCTTTTTGAGTGATAATTTACTTTGCATGAAGTGGCCTTCGATTTTCGCTCTCACCTCTCCGTGGTCGATATCTTACCTTGGTCTCATAGTTTTCCCAATGTACTTGCACTACCATTCGTTGTCGATTCTGTGCACTGTGAGTTACTTGTTTCTTCTAGAAGAGTGGTAAAGCCTTTTTATGCCATTTAAGTACTCACCATACAACGCACTATCTGCCGCTAACTGTTCTTTCCTGTTGGTCGTTCGTCCTATTGGTTCCTGACCTGCTTCAGATTTGTAGATGGCGGTTTATTCAAGTATTTTTTATTTATTTAATTGTCGCGCTCGATACTGTTGGTATATCTAGGCGTAGAATATGAATTAAGACGGAAATGTGTTTATTTTCATGCTTTATTGCATTTTCCTCGTTCCCCTTCTGCGGTGATACCTCATCCGTAAAACCTTTATTACCACTATTCCCGTATTACACTGACCTGGGGTTACTGGTTGCGAAGTGGAGTTACACAACCTACAGGGTCATCCTTCGGACCAAATATCGTCCCGCGTTGTTTTTACAGAGCGGGGCGGGGCAGAGACTTCCGAATAGTCCTTGGTAGTTACATTTTCCTCCCAATCAGTGTGTAGACCCTCTGCAAATTCTGGAAAGGGGGAAAGAATTTTGATCTAAGCTCATGGACCAGTACACCATTGTGCGAATTTGTGCCGACTACTGCTTCAGCGTGTGCAACCTCCTTCTGACGCAGTGTTTAAGCCTTCACTGTCCAATTCAAGATAGCACGATCAGAATTTTCCGGGTGTGCAACGTTTGCTAAATTAAGTACGACTGCATACCCTTGCTCTCTTTTATCCCCTCTTTACATCCTCATTGACAGCTTGATTTTGTCTGAATTAAATCAGCGAATGGCGCCCCATCTAATCTAGACCAAAAAGGATGAGATCAACCGCGTCTGAAGTTAGGAATTCATAGACCGTAGTCCTTGATGAGCCGAATGCCTCGCAGCTGTGTAATGCAGCGGCAGAATACCGGTGAAACACGCATATGGCCCCTTAGCTAGCACTCCTGCTGTCAGTATGACGCAGTGGCACAGTTAACCGAGGTAAATTTATTTGACGTTTCAGTCGAATTTTTCGACTGCACACAATCAGAAACTTGTGAATGACTTATGGTGGAGTCACTGGTCTACATATAGCAGTGTGTCTGACTTGCGATCGTATTGTTCAGCGACAACTATCCTTGCCTCCGTTGCCTTCTGACATCTTGTTAGGTGGTGGTGCAGAGCCGCGTAAGCCCTGCACAAATCTTTTTGGCGGCCGAGGGGGAAGCGCCCTGAGTGGCACGTTAGTAACAGCTGTCGTGTCGAATGGTAATCATTCTGGCGCTCTGAGCGACATGGAACACCATCTACCACTTCGGGGCCCCATCTCTCTACGACACAAAGTGAGTACACACCCAGGCATCATGCCAGCGACCACTGTCTGCGGTTCAGTTGCATTTTTAGAAACTTTATTGAGACCCGTGCAAACCCCGGAGCCGTTTGTGTATGCTGACATCCGTGGCAAAAGGCCATTTGCCCGCCAAAATGATAGTCCGGCAAACGAAATGTTCTCTATCCAAATAAAAAGGCAGTAGCAACTGAATTGGCCTACTTAGGCGGACATTCTGACTTCGGCTACTGTAACGCAGACAGATTTGCGGCGAAAGGGCACTGCCGAATTCCAGTCGGAGCTGTGGCGTCTGGTGTTAACAGTCCCGGATGTCTCTACTTAAAAACCTTCATGTAGAAGGAAAAGAGCCATACTGATTTAAGACTCGTTCAACCGCTTGTCGACCATCGAAGGCACGAGGTCCACTTTGCTGTCGGCCAGACTAAATAATAATTCTCCAGGGTCGTTCTGAGGCTCTACCCCAACATCATCGGCGTTAAGCCATCTCCGGAAGGAACAACCAGTTAACTTGAACGGCAAAATCAAAAACCCAAAGGAGCCAAATGAACAAATATTCCACCATCACCATGCTCGTTCCTCCTGCACATGTCTCCCAGAACTATCACTCCAGTTTTCGTCTAGTGGAATTGATCCCTCAATAATGTTACTAAATTTGGGGGTAAGTTACCCGAGAAAGTCACGTCAACTGCGAGCTGGTTCCGGACGAGATCGAAATCCGAGCTACGGTGGATCTGAAATGAGGAACGTAGCCGCCGAAGCGGAAACAGGGCTAATTTGGGTGGGTTCATATTCTTCCTGAGTTCCCGATAAGGGTTTGACCAAAAATAAGTCGCGGACAAAATTGATAACGAAGGTAAGCCAGCTACTTATATTCAGTCAGTAGCCTTAACAGTTTCAAACTTGAGGCAGTTGGAGTATTTAAGCGATACCTAACGGAAGTTTGTGTATCACACTTTCTTGAACCAAGGGTGATAGTCTAAAGGACTGACAACTTGAGGCACAGCTGCTTTTCAAGGGTGCTTTCGCCAGGACAAACCTTAAAATGACCCTTGAGAAGGCATATCATATCATCCGTTTCAGTTTACCGTATCTGAGGAATTTGTTTGATCGGGGGCGGTAGTACGGGCATTTTACGGGGTCGAAAGACAGTTTACTGGCTTTACGATACTTTGGTAATCCACTTTTCGATTCCGTCAACATCCTTTCGTCCACATACAGTGGCATATGGTCAAGCAGGCTTTCACTGCGGATTATTTCTATAACGTTGAGCAGGATAATTTCGGGTGGTCACTCACGATTTTTCGGTTCCTCAATGGGCTTTTTTGTAAGTATTCAATGGTTGCGTCGTTGAAGTCCTGGGACTTAGCCCTATTCGCATATCTTCTGGGTGTGACTGGCTGACGACGGCTAATATGCCGGTAATGGCCATTCAACTCTCCCTTCACCTTGTCATTAGGGCTATTCTGCCTAATAGAGTTCGCCTCTGCTTTGGGGCTGAAGTCTAGGGCCCGGGCGAGTTCTCGAAGTGCAGGTATCCCAATCTTGGGGGAGGCGTACGATACACCGACAATGCCCAATGATGCAGCAACAGCTATTTCAGTCCTCATTACATTCATCCGTAACATTAACCCATTATTGTCTGCCGCTATGCGACTCACCGATAAGACCCGGGTGAAAGTCCTCAGTTTCTCCAGCCCTCAGGCCGAGGTATGACCAGCTGAGTGCACCGAATAAACTAAACGACGTCCCAATTTCCCTATTCTTGTCGGCAGGGCATATGGAAACCTGCAGAGCCTTGGTTACTTTCAAGCAGAAGAATAGGGTAACCGAACTTCACTTGTAACTTTTTAATTTCTTCAGAAATTAACTGCGAGCCTGGAGTAGGTAAGTATATTCTAAGGTCTGCAGGCGCAGATTTAAATTTGATGTATGAATATTTGGGCCGAAGCCCATCAGCCACAGCGGGATGGCCGCATAATATTCCTTAACTACCGACAGGCTGATGTACTTCGGCCCAAATATTCAAACGTCAAATTTCCATCTGCGCCTATAAACCTTAGAATATACTGACCTACTCCAAGTTCGCAGTTAATTTCTGAGGAAATTAAAAAGCAACAAATTGTAAACTGACGCATCTACCAGAAGGCAGACAGGGGATGCTGGGGGATCTACTGAAGAGCCGAACCCCCCTGCAGCTGTGCCATGCACCGGGAGAATATCGGCGAAACACGCGTGTATGGGTTTTTAGAGAGTACCTGCGCTACTAGAATGGCATCCTGAAATCCTGAAAAAAAACGAACTTCACTTCAACGACTCAGAAGGCGAAACGCGCTGGTAAACGAGCCTACAACTCCCTGCGCGGTGTATCAGTCCTAGAAAACTGCAAAAAGGACTCATTACCTGTCTGAAGACCAAGAAATAAGTTAATGTGAAATAGTAGCGTGTAAAAGTGAACAAAAATAAAGCGAAACCGACAAAGAGTGAGAGATCGAGAGAAAACGTTTAGTCCAGGAGACAATAGTTCGGTAGAGTGCATCTGAAAGACCAGAAGTCCCAGCATGTGCGGGTCCATTGGGTCAGTTATTTAGGGCTCCACCTTGCAAACGTCTCGTTCACAGTGCAGTGATATAAGATAAAAAGGGTGCGTGCGTGTGTGTTGACGGGCGTGAGTGAAGTAGGAACGGAGGGCCGAGCGGGCTGGTCAGGAGGGGATATGAAAGACACGTCGACCGCGCTACGCGCAAACATACAATATCGTCACCACCATCATGATCAGGGATGGAGTTGTAGACTTCGCGTTCACATGGCATCAAAATGGAACCTCTGTGACTCCTGAAGCTGCTCCTGTCGGTCGGCGCGCACTTCCAAGTACTGCAGAACGCTAATTATGATGATCAGAAGGACACAAGTACAAATCAGTGTAATTGCGACGTAGATGACCTTCATGTTGTAGAGCGGCTCCAGGAAGAGCTTCGACTGCCAACTAGGGGGGGGGGGAGAGGGAGACAAAAGAAAATGCCTTATTGGTGTATGAGACCGGAAAGAGAAACCACAAAATTAGCGTACAAACGAGAGAGCGGCCGCAGAGCTTCTGAGACAGACGTTTCGCACGCAAGTCGGCTTTCAGCTAACATGCGCTCGCTTGTGTCTTCAAACACACCTTTCCTCACACCAATGCTAAAGAGTTACGAAGGAAAAGGGAAGTTTCACCAGGCAGGATAGGTGGATGCACCGTGTGTATCAGGCGAAAGATCGTCGCGCCAGCTCTTAAATACACCACAGTCGCTGGCAAAAAATTTCCCTTAATCAACGTCTCTGCCTCATAATTGCCAAGGACGGTTTATTGAGTGCGTGCGGATGTTTCGCATTGTAACGAAACCCTTGAAACGTGCCCCCCTACCTGACAGATCCATGAGAGACACAGAAGGCCTTCTTCTGAAATCCAACTGAGACGGAAGTCAGTTAACGGCATCAATAACGATCGGTTCCTGGAATTAATTCGACGTACTAGAATTGAGTTAGCCATTTGGGTTAAAAAAGCATACGCCCTTCGAAGTCTGACTGTATGCGACAGGGCCGTTGAAATTGAAGCAGCTTGTAAATCGATTCAGGGATAGTGTGGACGGCCAACATTACACCGCTTAAATACGCGTGCCCAAAAGCATGTGCTTACACCGCTTAGTTGCAAGTGTACAGTCACGTGATCCGACGCTTGTTCTTCGGCGCAAATAACACCTTAACCCACATCCCTTGGGGTACCGAAGAATGTGGTATTAAGTGGCGGTAGCCAGTTCGAAAGTCCAAAGAGGATACCGGTATGCTGTAATCCTTTGTCCCCTGACTGTGACCCAGCTCAACGCGACTGGAAAGGCGAAATACTTCATCAAGCGAATATCGCTCAGTTGCGACAGCCAATAATTTGAGGATTATTGCGATCACGTCAGGAGATCGGTATAAAAACTAGCAATGGAATGCTCTTACCACCATTGCACCTGAGAATGAGACGGCCAGCTCAAGTGGTTAGAGCGTTGGCTGTACTAAAGCCTTCCTCTTACTGCGTGGGTTTGAATCCCACCGAGGCGCCGAGTTTTTCACAGTTGGGTCAGTATGAATTATTCAAAATCTGCCAAAATATCTATGAAAAAGATACTGTTCAACAGCCTGAAAGCCATTGCGCGCCTAGGGGGAGGCTCGTGTAAAAAAGCAGGAGACGTCGCATGTCTTCTGAACATCCGGGATATATACAATACATAGAGACACGGAAATACATGTAAAGGCAAGGGAGACCGGAATGGCCGTCGCTGGCTTATATATCTTCGTCGTTGTTCAACCATACCGACCCACAGGTTTGGCGGACCTGGAGTTCGAGTCCGGCCTCTTCAGTCACTGAGCGTAAAGTAATCCAACAACGGATAGTGCCGGAATTGTGCTGTGACAACATAGGGACCGGATAAAGTTACGGCATGCGTTATTGAACTGCGCACCCGGAACGAGCATCATACATGATTGTGGTGGCACGCCTAGGAGGAGGTCCACCCCTGCACCGGATCCCCCCCCCTCCGGTCTTCTTGACTCTACACCGCGCCCAGGTGGAGGTGGAGAGGTCGTTGGTTGCCACGGCGCCACTAGGTCTCTAGTTGTGTGTGGAAGGCAAAGAACTCGGCAAATACGAAACTCTGTGATTCTGAAGGGTTGCACTCAACTGCGCCATACTGAAAGCAGCCCACGCGCACATATGTTGTAGATGGGGACTCTTCACACTTGGCTGGCAGACGACTAACTGCCGTAAGCAAATTCACACGCACGCCACCCCAGCACCCAGGGTGCGGTGGCTGCTATCAACGCTGGCTATGGGTGGTGAAATCAGTGCCAGCAGTAGTGGTAGTAGTATGCATAGCATTATGATTATCACTAGTAGCATTAGCGGAAGTGAAAGACGAGGGACTTACTCCTGTGGCCTGTCCGGCGGATAAGGGATGACAACAACTTGGGCCTTAGGCACAATGAAGGTGAGGGTGTGTTCTCTCGGAGTCTTGACAAAAAGAAACAGGATAGGCAGAAGTGATACCCAACGAAAAACCACAAACGGGGGGCGTCAGTATGACAGGATGCGGCTAGAACTCTGCAACTGATGATTTATAAACTCTCCAAGCAAGGTAAATCACACATTCCTCAATCCTTTTAGGAGGGTGCCATACATAACTCATAAAATTGTGTAGTAGATGTGTTATGACCTGGCCTGGTACTTGAAATCACATGGAGCATATGCGCACTCGACGCTTGTCCCTAATACCCACGCGGCAGAGAAGGAGAACGCGACCGGGCACGAAAAGTGTTTTAGGAAACTACGTGAGATACGAGGCTTCCCCGGGGGCCGCGAGTGTAGTCACATTTGGGTCGAGTTACCCGCCAGTCTACTGCAACGTACGGAATTCACTATTTCCGACACAGTAAGCTGACGGCCCAAGCAGTTCATTCACAATATAGAATCCATCAGAGGCTAGCAGCCCCACCTAGTTGGTAGGGGGTTTTGGCAGAGTTGAATACTTCACTTAACCTCGTGGCTTAGGTCCTTAGAGCGTTGGCTATGCTCAAGCCATGCCTTGCTGTCGTGGGTTTGAGTCCTACCGAGGCCGCAGAGTTTTTCACAATCGAGTCAAATTAATATTTCGAGTCTGCCAAAACACCTAGTAATTAAGTAGCCCTTTCTTACCGAGTGTAGTTTCTGTGAGCGCCCAGAAACATCTTCGAGTTATGCTGTAATATTACAATCCCATCCAAGTAATCCTTTCTAATCAAAAACTCACTGAAGAACTTCGGTTAACACGTCATGTGGTACGTCGTTTACTGTAAAAAAAATCATGGAACCTGATATTTTATTCAGGTCTGCATAGGATGCTCTAATGCAGGACTACACGACAGGCTTCTATAAGCATGAACATACATTTTGTGTTGCGGACACAGACTAGATTCAGATTGCGAAAACGACAGGGGTGTAATATTCGGGCGCCTTTTCCCTAAAACGAGCCACGAGCCACATGCGACGGACCAAAAAGCGACTTAGTCGGGAATGCGCACCCATAACAAATGCCAACATCGGAGGTACAGCGGCTCAACCAGGCTCCGCACCAGTGCCCAGCCAGTTGGGATCAAAGCTCCCCCCTCTTTGCCTATGGCAACGAAGAGACGAGTCCCAGAAAGTAGTCTTGAAGAAGGAGACACGATCGCTGGGACATGAGCTTTATTAGCCTGACGTTTCGGATTCCTGCTCGAGAATGGTCGAACACGCTACAGCGGTGCGGATAAATGACGCCAGCTCTCAAGTTGCGGCTCGTTCGACGGGATCCGGCAACACATTCAAATTTGACGAGGCCGAAATTCTCGCAAGAGGTGACAACCGCGTGAGCTGGGAGCTGCTTGAGTCATGATTTACTGGCCCCCAGTCAATTAACAAGTGCAATAAACTCCCCCTTCCATACTCGGTGCTGAGACTTCGCCTAGGCGGAATAATTAGCCACGCGGGAAGCGCACAGGTGAACACTTTTCCCAACACTAGGGTCGGTGGGTCAGATGATCGAGCAATCATCACACCAGCATCCAACGCACGTGATGAAATGGCAGCAATTAACGACACGAATGTCGGCCATCACACCACGTGCAACGATCCCTGATGAAGGGGGAGCCGTGAATATTCATAGGTAAGCGGTAGCATGGCGACTGCATCCTATAAATACTGCAGCCCCGTATCTGCTTTTGTCTCTGATGAAGGATTCGAGCAGGAATCCGAAACATCAGGCTAATAAAGCTCTTCTCCCAGCGACCGTGTCTTCTTCTTCAAGATCCCCCTTCTTCCTTGTTGTGTAAAATTCTGGTCTGTGTGCGCTGTGAACCAGGGGGTGTGGTAGTACACCAAGATACGGGTTTTCGATGTGGCAGCTACTAGCGCCCTCTCCCACCTCCGGTTTTCTTGACTTTATCATGAAACCGGATTGCGGTGGGGGAGGAGAGGGAGCGATAGATGCTGAGCAAGTCTATCACCATCATAAACGAATTCACAACGAAGAAAAGGCACACATCAATAGGCCTTCAGGAGTTTTGAGTTAATATTTCTCAAGCCTAGTCGGAATTTCTGCATAAATCTACACAAAAAGTCTTTTAAGCCCAACTGATCGGGCCCGATCCCGGTTTGTTTGTCAGTGATCGAACGGACAGGGCTGGAGCGACCGATGGATGAGGTGGACCGCTCGCGCAGTCACGTCACAGACAAAACGTGTCTAGGCGTCTGCCGAGGTACCTGGGTGTTTGAATATGGTGAAAGAACTTTCTGTGCTGGAAGAGCATGCTATAGGTGCTGTGTGAAAAAAAACACGAGTGCTCACACTACTCTTTATGAGCGGAAATTTAATTCGAAATAGGCAAAGCTGCATGCAGCATCAAAAAAATAAACGCCTTATGGAGTAACGGTGAAAGAAACAGCGTCCACTGGTGAAAAAAAGGATCGTAAAAGTGAATCATAAGCAGTCTACGCTATAAAGTCCAAGAAGTGTTGTGATGAAAGGCAAGTTTTTTGCCTGTCTTGTGTTCTTTAAATTGGGAGAATTAAAACCGGGAAAAATGACAGAAATACACCAGAGAGAGGTGGAAACTCACCGACGCCGATGGCACAGAGACAGGTACCTGCTGAATATAATTGGCAAAGTCGCCAAACCCGAAGATTGTGTACGGCAACTGCAACGAACCGCAGCACGAGGAGGTAACAAAGACGGACGTGGCCTTAATTTCACCGCCACTCTCACCGCTTGTACTATACGAAGTCCTGTAGCCGTAGCCAGGCAGACCGTAGGGAATCCGATTGGCTGGGCAGGAACTTGGGCTGCCACAGAGCCCATTGGTCAGCATTACCTGGAAGGCACGGTGAGGGAGAGGGAGTTAAGTAGAGAGCATAGGCGACGATGAGCACAGAGCATCCGCAATCATGAGTGTGCCGGAATGTCAAGCTGATTTATACCTGCTTTACGTTTCATACTTTCACTCGAATCCACCACCAGAGATAGCCGCAGATAAGGGCAGTAGACTCACAAGGGGTGCAGTTGCCATACAACTACATACCTGCCATAAGTAGCAGCCCCGCATCCATCGTCTGTGCGTCCGGTACCCTTTTCTGGGGCTGTCTCGAGTGGTGGGTTTGAGCAAGAATCCGAAACGTCAGGCGAAAAAGATTCTTCTTCCAGTGGTCGCATCTCCGTTTTCTCAACTGCCTTCCCAGAACCCGCCTTTTCGCTTATATATCAGTTAGGGTGAATCAGACAGTCGTTCAGGCCTGGGTTTATAAACCACTATGCGTCAGCCTTAGGCGTCTCACAAGTCATCACTCCGGATGACGTCAAGAGCATGATTCCAGACCTAACGCTTTCTTCATGCATGCCACAGCCTACGCAGTTGCACAGGTCAGCAAATAGCGGGCGCCAGTAAATCAATCAGTTCAGCGCGCGAACGTGTCGACATCCGAGCCGTCATCCCGTGCCCAGAGGCCACCCGCTGACTGCAACGCATCCAGCCAGGACAGAATAAAACTTCCCGACAGATGTCGCCGCCTGATTTATGTCGTTTCGGGGGTGTTTCTACGGTTACAGCATAGCGTCTACCCTTGGTCCCTACAAGTCAAAGTGGAATATTGGCAAATCATGGAACCATAGGCGGAAACTGGAATAGTTCAGACGGACTACTTTTCGCAGGTGAGTATGTGTGGCAACGCGTGTAAACACCATAATCTCTGGAATTTCAAATTGTAGTTTTGTTTGGTCAAAACACAGAAGGAAATTCATGAGCCAGAATAAACTAGCCCCATGGCACAACAATAGTCAAAGCCAAAGGCCATAATAGCACCCACTATTCCAATGCGTATAGAGATTGAACGGTGAGGGTTGCACTAATCTGCGCAAGTCTGCAAACTGACGTAACACACCAAAATGACAGTGAAAGGCGCACTCTGAAAAAGGAGTCCAATCAATCCCGGTGGAATAACCCGTGGTACAACAGTCGGAAGTTTAATGTATGGGTGGGTCTTGGTGGATATGAGAACTAACGCGAGGGTGGGCGCAATCGATCATGTGACTCACCGCGTGATTCAGTAATGGTCACAAACGCGTGTTAAGTCACCGAGGCAGCTAACTTTCACGTGTTATTAAGGACAGGCAGAGAATTGTCGAACGAGCACGGATCCGGCGCAGAGATGAGGAAGGCGGATGGCTCAAGGCGATTAGGAAGTAGCATTTTCAGTCACTGAGGAAAGGCCTGCACGCCTGCACCGCCCGTTTCTCGCAGCAGGTTTCTGATCAGAGTCGCCTGCATTGCCTATATCACCGACTCAACCCAACGGTGTCACGGATGCGTGAAGTCGCTAATGCGGTCGGTTTCATCAATAAACGCCGGGAAGGATAAAGTGTTTCCGAGCTGCATAACTGACCAGATGAAGGCAGCCTTCGGATTAAGTGTCGTCAAATTAAAGCAGATAGTTTCAAATACCGTGGGTCGAGGCTGCTGCCAAATGGACTGATATAAAATTAACGAGGTAAGACGAACAGGAACAGCAGTTGCCCTTCCTGGATGTGTTTGTCAGACGAAACCTTAACGGTGAACCTGAAACGACGGTTTATAGGTAGGCAACGAACACCACACAGCTTCTCAGTTTTCACAGCAACCATCCGGTGGCTAACAAAGGAAGCTGTGTGAAGACGCTCTTCAAACGGTTCCAAACTCATTGTAGCACGTGAGGCCCGTTATCTCCGCGACCAGATTGTGCATAATGGCTATCCGAGGGCATTCATAAGTCGCTGCCTACGCGGTCGCCACCAGAGAACTCGAACATCAACGCCACCAACGAGATAACATTCTCTGCCATACACCAAGGGCGTTTCAGAAACGATCGAGCGCATTGCTGCGGAGCTAGGTGTTGGAATTGCACACCGCCCCAAAGCCACCATGCGCAATAGGGTCATAAAAATCAATGACCGGTTAAAGCCTGACGAGCAATCTGAAGTAGTATATCGCATTCCGTGTCAAAATTGTCCTTGTAACTACACAGGACAGAATGGGCGCATGCTCGGATCGCGTATACACGAGCGTAAGCTAGCTGTGCGACGAGGCGACGCATTATCACAAGTGGCCGCCCACACCTACGAAACCAGTCACGAGTTTAACTTCGTAGCCACCAAAATAGTCGTCCACTTCGGAAACAAAACAAGCCGAGAACTGATTGAAGCCTGGGCCTCGGATGAGAACTCGGTCAATCGATTTATCGATCTGGCGCCGGAGTACAGAGCCCCGCGTAGTCACCCCCAGTTTTGCGTCGTCGGTCAGCCTGCATGCCTTATAACTGTCACTTGTTCTGTTGCTGCCACTACGCTGACGATGGACTCTTGCACGAGTCTGAAAGATCAGGAAAATAAACAGTGTTTCGGTGCGCGACTCTTCTTCGTCACGTTCCGAATAGATGCTTGTCGCGGGGTCTTCACAATGCCTAGAAAGTGCCTGTGGACCCGACGCGATATCTCCATTGCCACAAAGATCCGCGTGTATCGGACACCCGTCCCAGTTAGTCCTCCTCTATGGTTGTAAATGCCAGGATTTGTGTGTGGAAAATGAGCGAAGACTGGAGGTGTTCAACCACCACTGCCTGAAGACCATCCTCAGAGTGAAGTACACAGAATTCGTCTCAAATGAGGCAGTCCGTACTCGCTGCGACAACATCGCGAGGATGTCAGGCCATCCAAGAAGACGACTAAGGTAGTTTGGACTAATTCTTCGACGTCCACCTCAGGCTCGGTGGTGTGACTGGCATATCTTGAGATGGGGTTGAATGATATTTAATATTACAGCCACGCCTAAGCAAACCTTTCTACCAGTGACCATATTGCAGAATCTCAGTTTCACATAGACATCACCCGCTATACCTGCTGAAAGCAAGCAGCCCGATGGTGCACATACCTTCAAGAAGTATCGTTCGCTGGGGAGGTCCTGCATGAAGAGATAGGTATTCACCTGGTCCCGAGTTTGATATGACACAAATAAGTCAAGCATACCCTGTGGAAAGAAGGGCAAAAAACCAAACGATAAAAAAATCGCAACGAGGATTCGCGACCTTAAGAATGGAAAGTTCAGCGCAAAATATTAATGGTATGGATAGTTCCCCATCCAAATGTTTCCACGAAAGACAAAGGTTGGCGAATCTTACTGCGATGGCATTGTCGCAGCCTGGCACACTCATCTAAGACAAATTTATAAATCGCCACATACAGTAAGCTAAAATTAACGACAGAGACTGATATGAGAACTGTCGGACGGTCCCTTGAAGAAAATGTCCTCTTAATTCATAGGTATTTTGGCAGATTTTGAATAATTCATATATTTACCCAACTGTGAAAAACTCGGCGCCTCGGTGGGATTCGAACCCACACAGTAAGGAGAAGGGGCCTCGTAGCTCAAGTGGTTAGAACGTTGGCTGTACTTAAGTCTTCTCCTTACTGCGTGGGCTCGAATCCCACCGAGGCGCCGAGTTTTTCACAGTTGGGTCAATATATGAATGTCCTCTTAGTGTCTGAGCAATTTGTTCAGGCAAAATGTTCATAGATTTGAGCGAAAATGGATGTGTTGATGTATTTGAGCAATTGCCTATGTTAATACTTCTTATAGACTTCGGTTGCGCTTTCTATCGTGTTTTGCTTTGAGAGAAGTGTAGTTTGCCATCAAGCATTTAATTAAACGGGGCTTGCAGCACTTGAAAATCGACTCTTTGTCTGATGCTAACTGTGGAAATCGGCTTGCCAATACATGCTATTTCTTGAGAAACAAACATTTTATCGATTTTTAGAAGCCAGACTGGCAAGTCCGTGAAAGTTAGCGCCCTAAAGTAATAACGCACATAGACAATCCTTTGTTTAATTGAGCTCAAATTGTTTTGCCATTTGGAAAGCATTACGAGATGGTATAAAAAGGACCTAATGGTCGTTTTCGCGCGGTCTAGATTCTGCACATAGGTAATTTAGAGATGGAATGAGCAAGCCACTAACGGTTCCGGCAAAATATCAGTATTTATATTGCCACTGTGCGTGAATTCATAATCAGAGAACGGAGCCTAAGAGTGAGCAAAGACGGTAAAAATAATCGGAATGCAGGGAAACGCATATCTCTACGTCTGTGGTAGAAAAATATAAGTATTTTAGCAACATAAAAAATGTAGAATGTGAAAATGTAAAAATGTGAAGTGCACAGACATCCGTCAACAGAATGCCGCATTAACGCGCTCCTCAAGAATGTTACTTATTTTGGAAAGTATTCTGAGTGAACGAAAGTATATGCGCTGTTAAATTTTATTGAGGACGTTCATTTTATTCGACGGTGAGGTTTCATGTTTTGATGACTCCTCAAATATGATCCAAACGACCATCTACACGAAAAAGAATGCCCAGACACTCACTACTTCGGTAAATGTCATCAAGAAGTATCTTATTTTAAAGGTTTTAACAAACACAACACAAAATCTGTCTTTATGGGCAATCGATTGAAATCACTGAAAATCATGAGGGAGTTAGCGATATCCCAAGGCCGATCTGAAACTCAACATAACTCAGAGCGAAGAAAAAGTGCAAATTAATTTCATGGAAGAAAGTTCTCCTTATATGCACAAAGTGGTGTGTTTATGAGTATATTTAAATGTATTACTCACTGACCGGCCTGGCAATATGTGTCTTTGTGAAAACATTTATTCCTATGACGTCCCTATCGGCGAAATCAAACAAAATCCTTTTTGTCTTATTTAACAGCATCTCAATTGATGCAAGGGCGTGACAAATACGAATTCTTGGGAAAGCGTTATGAAACTCAGTGTGGGCCGTTGGCAAATTGCGATACCTGACATTACACTAACTCTTAAAAGATATTTGGATGTAAACTTCACTAAAAGACTACTGCCAGACGTTATTCCA